GGAGCCGCGGGGAGACTGGAGCGGCGGGGGCGGGGCCGCGAGCGCCCGGAGCCTTGAGCCGCGCGACTGCGCCGACGGGAGGCAGGCCGCTGGGGACCTTCCCTCCCTGGCGGGTGCTAGTTCTAAGGGGGCTTGGGTGCAGGGGGCGAGAGGAAGGAGGGGGGTGTTTGGGTCACGTGTTGGGGAGAGGGGGCTGGACCCTCGGGAGGGCCTGGCCACGGGAGAGGGCGGGTGGAGGAATTAGGGGAGGGGGAATGAGAGGTACGTGCTGAAGAGGTGGGATGTGGAGATGTGCTAGGGTTTGGGGAATGTGGAGACTAGAGGAACAAGGGAAAAGGCAAGCTACAGGGAGGTGTGCCCTCCTACCATCCTACAAGATCATAGTGTGCCAGCTGTCATTCTTTAGATACTCTGGCCTACTTCTGAAATATTATTTGGGAGGCTTGAACGTGTAAATCTAATCTTTGAAGCTGTAAATCTAAGCTTTGTTCGCTGGTATGTATTATATCAAAGTACTGACATTTTCATGTCACATTATGAAAGTGTGTCATTTGTAGGTAAATCAAATGCTTTCATTTTTTATTTTTCATCCCAGGCTTGATCTCGCTTTTCAAACAGAAGTTAGTCAATTATTTTAACATAATTATTTGGCATTTGTATTTGGTTACATAATTCAATTCTATCAACTCCTTTTTTTTCTGATGGCCTATCCAAATTTATCTCTCTTGCATGCCAATTGAAAATCAATAGTCAAAGTTTCATGAAGTGTCTTATGTTGTGCTATTTGTGTCCCTTGAATCAGCATATAATAAAAACCACCACTTGTTCAGTGTTTTTAATGAGCGGATCTTATCCTCAGACAATATGGCCATATCCTGAAGTCAAATCCAGGTAGGCCCTCCATCGAGCTCTTCATGGGTATAGGCCTTTGCCTGCACTGATTGAATTGCAAGAGTGGGGCCTATATTATTAAAATCTGACCATCATCATATATAATGACAATGACAAACTTCTTGCTGATGGGCCACTGTAACAGGTGACTGAATAGTGCAGTAGAGTTGATAAGGTCCAAGATTCTTATCTACAAATGCTGGTAGTATAGTTTTATTGATACAAGCACCTCTACTCCAGGTGTCCCTAATCTGGGAACACCTGTGGTATGGAGGAGGCAGCTGCAGAACTGCTTCACTGGCCCCATAGCAGTGGGGGTGGTACCTGCAAGTGGCAAGGAGCACGGATCTACGTGTGTCCCCCAGAGCAAGGCAGCTGTAAGTATACCATCCTTATTACCTCAAGCTCATACCCTCTCAGCAGCCTCTTTGGCCTGGCAAAACCTTTAGGCTGCGTCTAGATTGGCATGATTTTCCAGAAATGATTTAACGGAAAAGTTTTCCGTTAAAAGCATTTTTGGAAAAGAGCGTCTAGATTGGCACGGACGCTTTTCCACAAAAGCACTTTTTGCAGAAAAGCATCCGTGCCAATCTAGACGTGCTTTTCCGCAAAAAAGGCCTGATCGCCATTTTCGTGATCGGGGCTTTTTTGCGCAAAACAAATCTGAGCTGTCTACACTGGCTCTTTTGCGCAAAACTTTTGCGCAAAAGGGACTCTTGCCCGAACGGGAGCAGCATAGTATTTCTGCAAGAAGCACTGATTTCTTACAGTAGGAACTCAGTGCTTTTGCGGAAATTCAAGCGGCCAATGTAGACAGCTGGCAAGTTTTTCCAGAAAAGCAGCTGATTTTTCCGGAAAAACTGGCCAGTCTAGACACAGCCTTATTGTGGAATACCCTGTTTTCAGAGTTGCCAGATTAAAGAGGTTCAAGTGTCTTTTGAGCAGGGGGTTATTTTCTTACTAAAATAATTAAATCAGTACAAAGTCTAGTGTGACTGGAGTTATATTACAGTAGTATAAAGATGCCTTATCAACATAGATAACTCCTCTCAATTTACAGTACAAGGTATACAGTTATAACTGTACCTCCACTAAGAAGATTGTATTGCTTTTAAATATAGTAGTACAGTGTATATTTTTGTGTGTAGAAGAGCCCTTAGGGACTGAGGATTTACTGGCTCTTTACCTATATGTATTGAAGATGAATTGATTATGTGCCAGTCCAGCACACTTAAATCATATTTTTTCCCTTAAAAGTGCCACATCTTTAAATGTGATCAGTAGCCTTGTGTTCTTTTTGACTCATGATTTATACACAAGTCCAGAAAAAAAAGTATTTAAAAACCGAGTCCAAACCCCAAATATGAAACTACATAAACTACCAGAAAGTTAAGTCTGGTTTTCCCTAAATTTCTTGACTCATTTGTGGTGATGCTTAGAAATATGTATTGAGAACTTTCTCAGTTCTTTACTGAAAGGGTGGGAAGATTAAGTGTTCACAAAAGGGAGCTTTCTCCCCACAGTTACATAGTTAAGAGGCTGTTTAAAAAACTTTGCTGACTCTTAAATAATATTGCTCATTGATATCATATACCTGCTAATTCTCAGAATTTTCTAAGCTCTTCAAGATGAACATCTGAAATTTTGTATATTGAGATTTTTTTTTAAGAAAAAAAGACAATTTTAGGCCTTTCTTGTACTCAATAAAAAGCAAAAAAGGACAAACTCTTCGGTGACACCTTTGAAGTATTTTTAATGGAATTACAATTTAATTTCCATACTTTTTTCAATGATAGAAAAATCTTGTATTGACATGATTTCAGTAAAATTTCATTGAGTTTATACCAAAAGTTATTGAACCAAGCACCACTATGAAATCCTGAGACTGTCCAAGCAGGTTTCTGGAGCCTCACCTTATAAAAAAAAACAAAAACAAAAAACCCAACCCTATGCTGACTCATCTTGGTCACTTGCGATGTGACCTAAATTAGGAGGGGATTGTGATCTGGGGCAGGAGACTGATGCCAGGGCCTGGGGGAGGGGTATTGGTGCAGGAGGAGGCAGAGGGTTTGGGTGTGTAGAGTGGGGGCAGAGGATTAGGGAAGGGAGAGGCTGGGATGCCAGAGGCAGGCTCTGTCTGGGAGGTGCTTGCCAGCAGAAACCTGAGGCAGACTGTCTGCTGCAGGCTGCTCACTGCTCCATGTGGCTTTGCTCCAGCTATGAGAGGAAGAGAAAGGGGGAATGGGAAAAGGAGGGAGGGAGAAAGCTTCCTACACTTCCCCTGCTCCTAGCAAAAATTCTCCACTCCTTTTGGCCAGAAACTGAGAGATTGGCCACTGGGAGCTAAGAGATTTTGCTGGGGGTGGGGAGAGGGACCAGCATGAGAAGTCTCCCTCCCTAGCCATCCAGAATGGAGAACTACTGGCTTTTTAAAGTGTGAGCTGTTCTCTTCCTAAGGGTTCTGGCAAAGCGGCCATAGGTTGGATCCAGTGGCTTGGAGGGCCAGATCCAGCCTGCTGGCAGCCTCTTGCCCACCCTGATCTAGATCATCCCTGACAGATGTCTATCTAACCTGCTCTTAATTATCTCCTTCTATCATCAGAGGTCAAGGAGAACAATTTTTCTCCCTCCTCTTTATAACACCCCCTTAACTACTTGAAAACTGCTATATGTCCCCCCTCTCAGTCTTCTCTTTTCCAATCTAAACAAACAGTGCTTTCAGTCTTCCCTCATAGGTTATGTTTTCTAGACCTTTAATCATTTTTTGCTGCTCTTCTCTGGGCCCACTCCAATTTCTCCATATCTTTCTTGAAATGCGGTGCCCAGAATTGGACACAATGCTCCAAGGCTGTGTCTAGACTGGCCAGTTTTTCCGGAAAATCAGTCACTTCTCCAGAAAAACTTGCCAGCTGTCTACGCTGGCCGCTTGAATTTCCGCAAAAGCACTGACTTCCTACTATAAGAAATCAGTGCTTCTTGCGGACATACTATTCTGCTCCCGTTCAGGCAAAAGTCCCTTGCGCAAAGCTTTTGCACAAAAGGGCCAGTTTAGACAGCTCAGATTTGTTTTGCGCAAAAAAGCCCCGATTGCGAAAAAGCGCATCTAGATTGGCACGGACGCTTTTCCGCAAAAAGTGCTTTTGTGGAAAAGCATCCGTGCCAATCTAGACGCTCTGTTCCGAAAATGCTTTTAACGGAAAACTTTTCCGTTAAAAGCATTTCTGGAAAATCATGCCAATCTAGACACAGCCCCAAGTGAGGCCAAGTCAGCACAGAGTAGAGCAGAATGACTTCTCGTATCTTGTTCACAACACTCCTGTTAATGCATCCTAGAATCATGTTTGCTTTTGTTGCAATAGTGTCAAACTGCTGACTCATATTTGGCTTGTGATTTACTATGACCCGGGGTTGACAAACCGCAGTGAAATCTACTCGCCAGCCTCGCACTGCGCATGTGCCAGACCCGCATTGCACATGCGCGTGCTACCGGTGAACGGGGCAACCGGCTGAAATCTACTTGCCAGGGATGAGTAGATTCACTGATTTGTCGAGCCCTGACTATGACCCCTACGTCCCCTGTTTTCCAATATGCATTACTTTACCCTTATCATCTTTGAATTTCATCTGCCTTTTGGTTGCCAATTCATCCAGTTTTGCCTTAGCTATTTTGAGTAATTTTATATTGTCTGCAAACTTTGCCACCTGTTGACTCC